TACTTATTGACCCACAGGCATTGGGACAAGATGTCTGGTCAACAGTAGTGCAGGAAGCAAATAAAAGACTGAACTGAAAAGAGTTAAACATGAGTAAATGTGTATCTATTCAAGAAAGGCAAGGGTTTTATTCACATGCAAATTTAGCCCGGTTAGATATATTTGTTTCAATACATAAGAAAGAATTAACAGCATTGTAAATGGAAAACAAATTAAATAATTTTAGCATTACATACAGCTAACTTTTAGTTTACTTTTAGATTATGCAAAAATTAAGGAAATGACAGTACCTGTTTAATTATGCTTTAATCGGGCAACACATTTAGCAGAATACATATCGAAAAGTAATAATTTACTTCAATTTAAAAATATTTTGTAAATGATGTCTTTAAATATCTTAACATTAATACATAAAAAATGTCTAAGTAACGTGTGCAGTAAACTTAACATAAAGCATCACAGTGAAAAAATATAAAAAATGTGGTGCTTCAAATAATAAATTTATAAAGACGTTCATATTTTTCTTAAATAATAGCATTTAAAATTCTGCATTCCTATTTCTATACATCAAACCTCTCAATATTTGCCAAAGAGAGACTCTTTCATCATGCATCTTTATAATCATAAAACAACTTTATGTAATTCAAAGATGTTCAAGTTCAAAATTGTTAGTTGTTTTTAATTATTTATCCAGATGAAAATATATGCAAATACATTATTTTAAAAGAAGAACATATGGTTTTACTATGGTGTTTTTTACCATCTCCCCGTAGTTATTTGATAATCCATGATTTCTCATCAGATGTACTTAAAAGACTTTAAGCAACCAATATCTAATAGGTTTGTACACAGCTGTATGGAATCTCTAGAGGCTCAGAAATGCAATTCAGCTACCACTAGCTAAGGGTGTGATAGACCAATCCTTTAGAATGTTCAAGAGGTGGCCACATTTTGTGACCCTAGGGAGCTATCCTACATGCTATGACCTAAGACTGACCCAGAATGTTTTAATCTGAAGTGAAAATGAGGGCAATGCACAGAATCTGTTTTTCCCTACATGCTTACTAAGAAACAAGCAAATTATTAAAGTTAATATTTTTAAACTTAGTTAAGTGTTTCTGAGATTTGAAAACAAGGCATTGTGAGAATAAAAACTTGTCAACCATTAACACTGAAATTAATTGTATTTCCACAATTTCTCAAATACTATAAAAATGATCTGCATTATTTGGCAAACCAGTAAGGATCAGTGGAATATATTTAAAACTAGTCTCTGCAGAATAGCACATTCATGCTGCCTATCATAGAATTCTAAATTATATCAATAACATGTTTTGGAGGGATGTACAGGTGTATATTTAATCTTTACTGTTTATTTGAACTGGGAGATACATATATGAAAGCAGAACTAAAACTAATATTTTATTTCTGCCTGTTTGTAAAATAAAAATGCATACATATTATACATCCCTCATAGTGCAAAATAACTAGAGCATTATATTCAAGAAAGCCATTGTGCACTATATTCAAGAAACAAAAATGCTAAATTCTTGACAAAATTGTCAGGTTGGAGTTGCTGCTGAGACTGGGATATTTACATTTGGCTGTTAATTCACAACACTTTGTTTAACCCCTTAAGGACTGAGAGAATTGTGCAAATTGTGATCAAAACAAAACGTAAACAAAATTGGAATATGCGCTATATGTGCTTCAACCATAATTCACTCCTTTCATATTAAGTACACCCACACTTATTATATATCATTTTGTGCAGGAGAAACTGGGCTTTCATTTCATATCAAATATTTATATATGAAACATAATTTAATATGAATAAAATCTAAAAAAGAATGAGAAATTAAGAAATGTTATTTTTCAAGTTCTGCATGGCATTTTAACTGTGAATGTCTTAATACTGTTGGATTTCACTGGAAATAAATACACATATTTGTATTCAGAAATGTCTCACAAGTACAATAATACCGATGTACAGGTTTTATGGGTTTTTGGAAACTTACAGGGGTAAAATCTAGGGCTTTCCCCTTTTCCATGTTTGCACATTGAAATTTTCCAGATTGGTTTGCTGGGCCTATGTTGCCTTTGAGACTGTATGGCAGCCAGGAATGAAAATTAACCCCATCATGGCATACCATTTGTAAAAGTAGACAATCCAAAATGGAGTATGTCCAGTCTTTTTTAGTAGCCACTTAGTCACAAACCCTGGCCAAAATTAGCATATATATTTGTTTCTTTGAATTTTTCACAAATAAACTGTTATTTCACCAATGATATTATCGGTATAATCAATTTTACTGCTCTAAAACACTCATATTTGTGTAGTAAATGTCTCACGAGTACAAAAGTACCTCTCAAGTACAGGTTTTATGGTGATTTGGGAAGTTACAGGGTCAAACGTAAGATTTGCCAATTTCTGTTTTTGTAAATTGCTATTTGCCAGATTGGCTATGATGCCTTTAAAACGGTATGGCAGCCTAGAAATGAAAATTAACCCAACCATGACATACCATTGGAAAAAGTAGACAACCAGGGTATTCAAAATGGGGTATGTCCTGTCTTTTGTAGTAGCCATTTAGTCACAAACACTTGCCAAAGTTAGCCTTCATATTTGTTTTTTGCATTTTTTTAAATAAAAACTGGCATTTTACTGGTGATATTGTCGTGATTAGTTTTATTTTTTAAAACACTCATATTTGTGTTTAGCAAAGTCTTCCGAGTATAACAATACCCCCCATGTAAAGGTTTTATGGTGTTTTGGGCTTGTTTAGGGCTTGCCAATTAAATTCTATGGACTGTCTATATATATATATATATATATATTTTTATATTGATATCATATACATATAATACATATGTATGTATATGCACTGATCAAAATTATAAATGCAACACTTTTGTTTTTGCCCCCATTTTTCATGAGCTGAACTCAAAGATCTAAGACTTTTTCAACGTACACAAAAGGCCTATTTCTCTCAAATATTGTTCACAAATTTATCTAAATCTGTGTTAGTGAGCACTTCTTTGTTGAGATAATCCATCCACTTCACAGGTGTGGGATATCAAGATGCTGATTAGACAGCGTGATTATTGCACAGGTGTGCCTTAGGATGGCCACAATAAAAGGCCTCTCTAAAATGTGCAGTTTTTACAAAGAGAAAAAAAAATCATCAATATAAAATGATGTTCTCTCTCCTAATTTGTATTGAAAGAGATATAATGATATGGTTATAACAAACAACTTGTAAAAAAAAAAACTTCAAGATGACAACTTGCAAAAATGGCTGATATTAGGCTAGGCAATGTTGTGGCCATTAATAAGTGTGAGTGTGTGTGTGTGTGTGTGTGTGTGTGTGTGTGATGGCGAGATTATAGTTGCATAATTGAATGAATCCTTCTGTGTTTATATGTTTCAAATATATATTGCAATATACAGTTTTATTTAGATTTCTTTCACAACACCTGTTCCAATGCAGATATTCACACTACAGAGTGAGAGTCTCGTCAACTCAATTGATGCAGATAGGATTTCTGAATTAGTAGCATACTTCTTATTTGTTGATAATTATTGGTACACTAGAGGAAATTTATTGTAGTTTAGTTTATGGCCTTTATCCATGTTTTGCTACGAAGCTGTGGACATCAAAGATAGATGAAGAACGCATGTGTGTTTGACTTGAAACCAACAATATTTAAACAAGGGAGATGATCTGCCAGAAAGACAGCAAGGGACCTCCTGGAAAACAGAACTAACAGATGGCAAAACAAGTAAAATCATAATAAATAAAGACACCCAACAGATGAATGGTAGAATAACATACATTATTTAAAGTGAAATAGATTTTTCTTTGGAAAAAAAAAAAGAAAGCTTTTTTTTTTGTCATTTTAAAGGGATGACTTATTTCACTGATGAGAGATCATTGACTGTTGGAGAGCAGATGAGAACAAGTGATACATATCATGATAAGATATAAAGTGAGCTATCAGCTTGTACATAAAAGATATTGAGCATGTTTTTATATATAACATTATATAACTATTAGACTTATGAGGGCACCTATACCAATTTTCTATCTTGAATCTAAAAGTGTGTGCTCTCAAACCAGTTAAACTTGTTATGGCATGTCTAATGTGCCCCTTAAACATCAGTATTTCATTAATTCTTATTCAAAAGGTTCCACAGTCCTTCTTTATTCACTTATATAATGCATTTTATTTTAGATCTATATTATTTATATTTGAACAGTTGACATGATAATTCTGAAAAATACTTAACTAACAGCAAAGGAAAATATTTGTCGCCAATCAATTTATAGTTCAAAGCGCTTTTAATGTACCAAGTGATCATTCAGCTTCAGTTGTCTGCAGACAGTTCTATTGTAAAGCTAAAATACTGGATATATTCCACAATTAAGCAGACATTTCTGATTTGCACTTGAATTGTTTGTCAAATGTTATATAATGCATCTGTTTGATGTATGAGATTGCAATTTCACTATTTTGACTTGATTGATTTAAACAATTCTAATTATTAAAACACACAAGCAATTATTTTTATCAGGCATTCTATAGTATTATAAATGGAGTTGCTTCATTTCCTTTAATAAAGAAAATAAGTACTGGTGCTATTCCCCTGAGGAAAACATAATATATATATATATATATATATGTCATAGTATAATTACTATATATATTAATGCATCAATGCTCTGAATTCATTTGGAAATGGTACAATGAGTTTGTGGATATAGTAATTGGGAGCTGAGAACAGCTTGTGGCTTATATAAAGTTAATTTCATTTTTATTGCATGTGACAAAAAAATTGCAACTGACATTTCAAATAACACTAGTCCACATTCAGTGGGATCTAAAAATGATATATTTTATATGGCTATATATATTATATATATCTAATTTCCAAAGATATCACTTAGATTTACTGCAAGTTGCGTATCACCTAGGACATGGGTCCTCAAACTCTGGCCCCCCAGATGTTGCTGAACTACAACTCCCATGATTCTCTGGCTATCTATGTAAATCAAAGAATCATGGGAGTTGTAGTTCAGCAACATCTGGGGGCCGGAGTTTGAGGACCCATGATCTAGGAGAAAAAGCCAAGTTAACATACTTATGCTGCCCATTTATCCATCCAAGATTGTGATGATATGGTCCTAACGCTTAAGACCTGTCCATCTAAACCTATGCATACAGCATTGCATGCTCATACTGAGGTTAATTTGCATCTTCATCCTAAGGAATACAAGGATTCTATTGATGTGCCTACATTTCTATTGTGGGTTGTGAGTGCAGTACTGGGGGTATTTTCTCCCCCTGTAATATACTGCTCTGGGCATGTTTTTTTTTCTGTTTCTTTTACAAACCATATGCATAATTTTCTTTGTATTTTATATGGGGGAATTGATAGCAAAAAAATCTTTTACAGAGAAGTGTGTTTTGTTAATTATAAGGTTTTCATTGTAAAGTGAAGAAAGATTTGCTCCATATGTTTTATGTATATTTTATGTTTTTGTTTTTTTTTTTTATATATGCAATGTTGAGTATGTGTATTTCACACTTATATTGTGAGGTGCTTGTACTATTGTATGGTAATTTTAACCCAGCTAATATGGAACGCAGCACAGGTCAAAAAAAGCTATTTGACGCTAAATTTGGAAAACTCTCTGGAATTCTTATTAAGCAGAAGGACAGCTTTTCTGATCTCTAAAAAGATCAGTTTCTCTGGTTGAATCACATATATTCAACTTGAGGTATATTCCCTCTGCCATAGACACTGTACACTGCCTATAGAGTTTTATACAATTTCTGCTACAACTACTAATATACTGAATGTATGTATAAAGTACAGTACAAAGTACAGATGTCACACTAAAATTATGGATTAATACTACACATCATAATGCAGGCTGGTAGCAAATCATTATGTTGACCCAGTATATTATATAGCTCGTATATGTTTATGTATTGTCAGAAATTTAAAGGACCACTATAGGCACCCAGACCACTTCAGCTTAATGAAGTGGTCTGGGTGCCTGGTCCATCTAGGGTTAATCCTTTCTGCTGTAAACATAGCAGTTTCAGAGAAACTTCTATGTTTACCTATGGGTTAATCCAGTCTCTAGTGGCTGTCTCATTGACAGCCGCTAGAGGCACTTCCGCGCTTCTCACTGTGATTTTCACAGTGAGAAGACGCCAGCGTCCATAGGAAAGCATTGAGAATGCTTTCCTATGGACTGGCTGAATGCGCGCGCAGCTCTTGCCGCGCATTCGCATTCAGCCAATGACGGAAGAGGGAGGAGAGTCCCAGCGCCGAGGGAGCCCGGCAGGGGAAAAAAGGTAAGGGATTAGCCCCCTTCCTCCCCCTTCAGCGCCACGGGAGTGGGACCCTGAGGGTGGGGGCACCCTCAAGGCACTATAGTGCCAGGAAAACGAGTATGTTTTCCTGGAACTATAGTGGTCCATTAAGTTGTATTTTGTACATTGAACAGTTGAAGTATATTGTGGATATTTTTAGAAGTTTATTGATTATGGTAGTTTGTTGACCTGAGAGAAATTTAATTATTTATCCTCTTACAATTATTTTATTATAAAAGTGCAGAGGCGGGCTAAAAAATTCATAAAAGGAATGGAATATATCAGCTATGAAGAAAAGTTAACAAATTTAAACCTATTTAGTTTAGAAAAATGTCGCCTGAGAGGGGATATGATAACATTATACAAAATATTTGGGGCCAATGCAAACCATTGTGTGGAAATCTATTCATAAACTGTACTTTACATAGGACACGAGGTCATGCGTTTAGACTGGAAGAAAGAAGATTTTGTCTAAGGCAAAGGAAAGGTTTTTTTACTGTAAGAACAATAAGGATGTGGAATTCTCTGCCTGAAGAAGTGGTTTTATCTGAGTCCATACAGATGTTCAAACAGCTACTAGATGCATACTTGCAAAAACAGAATATTCAAGGATATAATCTTTCAATGTAGGGTAATAACTGTTTGATCCAAGGATAAATCTGACTGCCATTCTGGGGTCAAGAAGGATTTTTTTTCCTAGCTTGTTGCAAAATTGTGCTTCAAACTGGGTTTTTTGCCTTCTTTTGGATCAACAGCAAAAAACAAATGTGAGGAAGGCTGAACTTGATGGACGCAAGTCTTTCAGCTATGTAACTATGTAATAGGCATGGGTATAGATTTCAATTTATTTGTAAAAATCTGGAAAGTTTGTATCATGTTCTTATGTCATCCCATGCGTTCAGCTGAAAAGCATTAATGAATGCATGCATTGATTTACTTTTTGGTAAATTGATGGCCACTGCTTTACCGGAAAATATATCTTGTAATGTATGTAATTATAGGATATAGTCATTTAAAACCACACAGATACTGACTATGGATATGCTTTCAATGTGATGAAGAACATACAACTGCAATATAGAGAACAATTTGCGAGCAATATAAGCTGTACCATACACAGTACATCTAACAATTATCAAAATTAATAATTTAGCTATAGACCTTGATAGAACATGGCAAGGTAATGTACCAGACAGTGTGATTATGAAACTGGTAAGAAAGCAGAAAAAAAGTGATACCGGTCCCATTCATTTTGCTGTCCAAGATACCTGGCATGTCAGATTTATACATTTATGACAAATCTGCTATGACTCCTCAAAATATTCATAAGAATCATGGAGACCACCAGTTGCCACAGAATCACCAGGGGCCAAAGATTCAGATCTATTTTCAAGGTCAAAAAGTATCAGAGTATTAACACTATATGAATCAGACATCTCCAAACTAATCGCACCTACAATACAACTACATTTTTCAAATGTATACTCCAACCAAACAGCAGAGGTTAATCACGATAATGCATATCTTTGAATCTGCATCCTTTCAGGAAACATCCAGATTCACCTATAGCAATTTCTTGGAGTCCTCGATGCTAAGAGAAGAATGACACTCAGATTAATTTATTTCCCAAACACACAATGAGCATAACTCCCAAGTTTCACTATTTAGCAGAGGCAGTTCCTATTTTGGGCCCGAAGCCAAAAGTCCCCCTTTTCTATCCTATTGTCCCTGTTTTGCAGGAGTTCAACATTTTGAGATGTCTGAATTTATTGAATAAATGCTTTCCTATGGGGGCTTCCACATTATTTGACCGTACTTTACTTAAATGCAGTGGAGGCCCTTCTAGTGGCTGTCAGTATAACAGGTGGTCTTAGCACTACAATATAATCTTTTTTTTTTTTTTTTTTTAAACAGCAATGTTTTACATTGCAGGATTAAAAGGACAGGACTATTGCACCCAGAGCACTTCATTGAAATGAAAAGACCTGGATGGCTATAATGTTCCTTTAAGGATGCCTTCCATGCAGAAAGAAGCATTTTCAATATGCTAGGAGCATAATACTATACACTTATAGCTAATGAAGCTCTGCAAAAGGAGGAGAACTGATTCAAGAACCATAAGTCATATACTGTAGCAGCCGCCAGATGGTCTGTGATCCAATCGGGAACCTTAGCTGTCTATCTGCAGTCATGGTTGTGTTGCTTTTAACTAGCCATCTAGCAAAAAAATACATTCTAATTTTTCTTTCCATAATGCATTTTACAGACTTCAACTAGATTTAGAATGACACATTTCTGGTTACAAGAAATGCTAGTAAACTGTGAAAAGTCTATCTATGACTTAAGTGTAGCTTGTTTATTTGCTACATTGATTTTTATGGACACTAGCAAATCAACCTCTTTGTATTTAGTTGCAGAGTTGACATAGGATAAGCCTAGTGAGATCACCAACAGTTTAAAATAATTACACAGTTTAGCTTTTTGAAAAGAAGAATCATAGGATAGCTGGTAATTTTAAAAAGAAAAAGTAAGTAAATAAAAAGTAATTGGAAAAGGTAACTATGGTAAAAAAAATACATGATTAAATCATCATTCACTAATTTTGTGCTGGATATCTAATGCAGCAGGATAGTGGGCTATTACACTTTTTTCAGTTTTGGCATTGTTGAATACCAGATTATACTGATATAACACTTTTTATCAAGCTTGGCATTTGGCATTTCTTCAAGGGAGAAGTCTTCAGGGATTGGTACCTTATACATTTCATCAGAGTAAGACTTATAACTCTTAGTACATATTATGGACAAATAACCAGTGCAGGTTTTAGGTTTAAACCAAGTGTGTTTATTTTGCCTGTGTATCATTTGGGGCAGTTTGGCATCCTATTTAGAATAAGTAACAAAAATAAGTGGGTGAGTGGAAAGAGTGATACCGGAAAAAAGTGCAGGTAGGCCTCTGTCTAAAGGTCACTCCTAACCTTTAATAAGCATAAAAAATAACCTGTGATGTTGCGTCTGGCATAATTCATGCATGCGCAGTGACCAAACAAGACGCAAAAACCGGCGGATTTAAAAGAGAGAAGACCGGGAAGAAGACAGAAGCTCCTGAGGAAGTCGGATCGACAAAAGGCATTGAGCCTTATCCAAGAACCCTGTGATTTGGTAGTAGCAGTCTTTTGATTACTTTTATAGCAATTTGCATTTTGCACTTTCAAACTGTGTGCTTTTGACTACTTGCTGTGAAGGAATAGTGGGTGTTAGCTGCCATTCTAGCCGCATATTGAGCACTTTATACTTTCCCTTACTTGACAAATCTTTGTACTTTAGCACTTGCATTTAAATTTAATCTTTTGTATTATGCTATAAGAAGCTGCTATCCTTAAAGGTTCTTTTGCCCATTTGGCTTATAATTTGGGTAACAATTGATGGGGCATCACTTTATACCATTATTGATCACGAAAAGGGTATAAAAGCTGTCCAAAATGTTTTAAATAACGATTCTGAGATACATTCTGACCAGACATCATTTATTTTAGAGCTCATTAGATTCATTCTTTTCCACAACTTCTTTTGGTTTGAAGGAATGTACTACCTTCAAATGTGTGGAACAGTAATGGGCACCAGGATCGCACCGAGTTATGCCAACATTTTTGTGGCAGACTGGGAATCTAAGAATACATCATTGAAGGGGACCCACGCAGGGGTAA